CTTAAAATCAGAGGGTTTGGGAAAGCTGCAAAAGGCAGGCCTCAGAAACAGCAGAACTGTGATTAGAGCAAACAGTAGCCATAAGATTTGTCAGCAGAAAAATTATATGAGATGTAGAATGTAAGGACAAATAGAACAATGGTCTGTGTATTAACACTTGTCTAGAATAACTCCCAAAGTCACAGAAAAGTCTATCTAGTAAGATGTTAGGAAGTTCTAAGCTTAATAATGGAGCTCTGTGCATTGTGTTTTAAGGCTTACAAGCAGGTATTGTATTCCAAATAAGCAAGTATTGTTTTAACCAAAGATATGTGTGCTTATAGTGATTGGATAGAACTACTGTCAGTATGCTTTTGCTTTGTGTGATTGGTCAAAAAACTTTTAAAGTGAGTTGTAAAATTGAATTGTTTGTCTGCTGCAGAGGACGTGAGCTGCTGGCACCTTCCCATTGTCATAACCACGTAATGAGGCTGATGCTGGAAAATAAAACAGCTCGAGACGTGTTCCCCAGCAGTCCCGTCCCATTTGTGATTTGTACATAGAGCCCCAGCCAGCACTGGTTTGTGTACAGCACAGCAGTGTAAGGTTCAGAGGATCCCAAACTCTCCCTAAGAACTGATGCCGCAGCGCCAGCCACCCTTCACTGTGAGCGTCACCCCGTGGAGCAGGAAGCAGTTTTCTTTCCCCATCACTGCAAGTCCCGGCCAGGAGTCCCAGGTGACAGATGACTGCGGGCCGGCCCTGCTGCTGGACGTGGCTCGGTGGAAGGAGCAGACACAGCCGCCAGGAGCAGCGCGGAGCCCCAGCGCCATCAGCCGGGGATGCGCTGCCCCTGCCCCGCAGCCTCTGAGCACACATCTGTCCCTGCAGCAGCAGCACGGGCTCTACATTTACACACGTCATGTAATTATGTTTAGAATTAAAAAAAAAAGAAGAATTTTCTCAGAATTATTTTTACCACTATTTTCCCCATCTTTCTAGTGTCAGTTCCATTAATTCTACCGTTTCCCTAAATCTCACAGAAAGGGATTTTCAAAAGCACTAGATCTTCAAGTGAGTTCTGGAAAAATCTCTCATCCAGAAAGATACAAATAAATCCCTAACCTGCTTTGCTATTACAGTGAGAAAGATAAGCATAAATCCAGCTATAACTCAAATTCAGTCTTTTTACAAGCTAAAAAGCCTATTGAAAAGGAAGATTGATGGCAGCTTTACTGCACATTACTGGTATATTAACTTAAGATATTTTTTAACTGTTAACTTAGAGAGATATTCCTGCTGGTGAAGGTTTATCTCTGCTTCCTTTGCAGTCAAGTAGGATGTGATGTCTCCATCTACTTCCTCATTCTCTGAGGCACCCTATAAACCTGCCAGTGGAGAACAGCAGAACAGAGGTCTCCCTAAAAAGAGCACTGAAAACAGACATTGCTAGCTAGAAGCTGGGAAATCAAATTATAAAGCCTCTGCAATACTGTTTCCCTGAATGGCATGGAACAGCTTTCTACTTACAACTCCTACAGCTTGATTTGCCAGTCCTGCTCCTCAGCACTCCCTTTCCCATTCCCTATTCGAGCACACACTGTGGGCATCTGTATCATGAGACAGAGACACAGCTAGGGAAATTTCTCTTCATGCTCTACCACAACACAGAGGAACTACTACAGTCCACTCTCCCAGCCTCAGCTTTAGCACACCATGCATGCATACCTTGTTCATTGTATTTTATGCTGGTATCAGAGAGCTCACCCTGGCCAGCAGCTCAGTGCAGCAGGCACAGCTCACACTGGATATCAGCCACTCACGATATCTAAGGCTTTACAAACCCACTGGGATGCCTCCATTCTCTAAATACAGCACATGAACTAAACTATGTGTCTTCTGTACTCGTGACTTGTTACCCCTCACCACTCCTCCCAAGAAAACTTAAGCTGGACAACACCTGAGTTTTGCATGCTACTGCTGCTGCAGAGCTGGAGACAATGTGAGGGGAAGTCATTTTAATACACCAGATAGGTGTATTAAAATACAGTCTGGCCTTCCAGCTGCCCAACAGGCCATAAGCAACCAAAAGCTGCTTGCAACGCAACAAACCCAAAGCATGCAGCAGGCTTTTGATATCTGGCTGAGACAGATTTGAAGTATCAGATCATCCTAGTTCATCTCTGTTTTTAAAGGCCTGATGAGGACACAAAGCTGTTCAGACTTCCTTTGCTTGCCTTATTTCACGTGATCCCAGACTGCTGCAAAGCAAGGGCACAGCACAGGGCAGTGAGAATTACATCTCTGCAGAACTCAGCCCAGGATCCAGCTTAGAGCCACTGAGTCTTAATCACAGAGCACTGGAAGTAATAATCAGGGGCTGCATAGCTTGGATTGGCTAATGAAGTTGTAATGGGGCATTTATCAAGGGATTTTTAAAGTAAACATCATTGATCTCCTTGCAAAATGTAGCACTTTAGTGACATATTTGGGAGTGGCTCAGCTACCCTGGGGAGCCAGGACATGCCACACAGAGTAAACTTGTCAGCCACTGCAGGCACTGCAGTCTGTGTCAATCCAGCTGCTGCCTCCAGCTGGATTTAAGGACGAAGCAAAGCAATAACTTGAGGCAGTCCATCTTCCAACTCAGATGCATGCTCTAACAACCAGGCATTTGAACACTTACAAACTACTGAGGAAAACAATATCTACTACAATGTCATGACGTATAATGGTGGCTAAATCATTCATATTTACCAACCAGGATTGTAAAGGTGATCCTCCCATGTGTGAGGACACGAGGCTTGCCTCCATTTTGCTCAGAAGGCTGATTAATTATGTTATATTATATATTATATTGAAATACTACATAAAAACTATTCTAAAAGAACAGAGAGAGAGGATGATCAGAAGGGTACAAAGAACAAGAATAGAATAGAATGCATAACAAAATCTTGTGACTGCTCACAGCCTTGGCACAGGTGGCTGTGATTGGTCAGTAACTGAAAACAATCCACATGGACCAATGGAAGATGCACCTGTTGCATTCCACAGCAGCACATAGTTATTGTTTACATTTCTTTCCTGAGGCTCTCAGCTCTTCAGGACGAGAAAAATCCTACCAGAGGATTTTCTATAAAATATCATGGCTACACAGGATCACACAGATGGTCAATTGTTGAAGTCTGACTGAGGGGTTGCTTGCTAAGCTGCTCTAACATCTTCACTCAGGATCTTAGGAATAAATGCTAAGAGGTCCCCCAGAACAAAGTTTAGGAGGTTGGTGTTTCTAGTTGTTTTGGATGGTTTTGATTATCAAACCTCTTACAGGGATGCATCTCTCTCATGTTCAGAAGACTCATAGTAGGAACTCTCCTTGAAAGTTTTTTAAAAAGAAAATATGTTTCAAGAAAATATTTTTCTCCTTTTGAGAAGCCAGCATTTTCCAACATTAAAAAAAAAAAATCACTGAATAGTGCACAACCAGCTACAGCTATTATCCTGAGTTACAATCCTATTCCTCTGGGCACCTTGAGGATAAGCAATTTCATTGTGTTTCTCAAACATGTTAAAACAAACTTTCTCTACCCTTTCCTTGACTTGGCCACTCTGCTTTTTTTGCAGTCTCCTTTGTCAGCAGCAGCTCAGCTCTTCCATGGCAAAGAACTGGCTGGATTTGGTGAGTGTGGGAGGTAATGCACACTCCTCTGCCTTGGGAGACTGGACTGCTCTCTGGAGACAATTTGCAGTTCTCTAGACAGAGTAAGTCTTGGTGGCTATAAGTAATCTCACTCCTTTGTCCCAAAGGAAATGAGCTACAGAACTGTTTTTTCCTTAAACCACCACATGGTTCACAGTCTCTTTTGAACCCTTGCACAAGCAGGCCACAACAGCTAGTCTATCAGACAGTTTTTCAGTATGAATTTCCATTATTTATTTCTAGTCTCACCTGAAATTATGTCAGACTGGTCTTAATGAATTACATCAAACAGTCACAAATGGGGCTGATGAAAACAAATAATAACCACATGGAAATCACACCCAAAGCAGGCCCAGATCCCAGGCTAAGGTTACAAAAGACAAATCACTGCCAACCATTAGCTTAAAAACTAGGAGTCACAAAATAACAGCCAGTTAAACCCCTTGAGAGCAAACCACTGATGAAGAAGACCATCAAAAGCAGTGACAAAACAGCTGTACGTGAGGGAATTTCAATAGTCCACCACTCTATAATACCTCCAGATTTGTTACTGCTACTCCAATCAAAGCACACTTAGTAAGTGAGCACAGTTAGAAAAGCAAAATCAGGAGCATGCACAAAAGATGACTCTCCTGGCACTGCACAGCTCATTGTTTTAGGTCACAATTGATTACTCCACTGATGCAAATGAAATTCAGATGCAAGACCCAAAAGGACAAGATGGACAAAGTGCTGGGGAAAGGAAACAGAAGAACGAAATTCAGCAGTCAAGTGTTATTCATGAAAAGTTATTTTGTGAATATTTCACCATTCATCCTTGGTTATTGGAGGAAAACCAGAATGAACATCTGAGATTTAAATAAAAATTAATGAAAAATAAATATGTGAATAAAGCCACTCATCTGCACTAATGGCTGCTAAGAGATTGTCTGTACCAAGCACTTGTACTCAGTGATAGCCACAATCTCAATACTTCAACAACAATCGAAGGACCACTGAAAACTTTCAGAGTTCCAATGGTTCTCCTAGACAGATTTTAGAGTCTGCAGGCATTTATCTCAATTCAGTAAAGCAAGTACAACTGTCTTTTGCTATATCAAAAACTGAAAAGCTGCCAGCAATGCTTATGCATACTACAGAAAACATTCTGCATGACTTCCATCTGTTATTCATCATTCTGAGTGGATGTAAGGATGGCATATGTTACTGTTCTCCCACAGCCTGGAGAAAGTAATCATCTTGCCCTCCTTGATGCAAACAGCACATATTTTTACATGAAACAGATATTTTTATTTAGTAGTTTTTTACAAACTATACACACTTGTATTTAGGAGAAGGTCTTCTGGGCATTTCTACTGGAAGTACCAGACTGGATGGAATTCTGTCTAGTTTTTCCAAAGGAGAATACCATCTACAAAGGGAGACAAAGAATTACATTATAAAGAATCAGGTGGTTGTAACACTGAAAGATGTGAGCCTGTTCTTCTGCCCATGGAGTGGAAGTCCTCTAAAAAAAAACTAAAACTCAAACACACTTTGTCTTTTGTCATTACTAATGTTAAATTTGCTGCAAGTCTTAAAAGCCTCATGGACAAGCTAAATTTTTCCAAGATGAAGGCAATAAAATCTCAGGGAGATTCTAATTTCTCTACATTAACCAATATTTTCTATCTCACTGATAGTGTAGATCTTCTGGCCAGCTTTGTTACAGAGGAAAGTATTGTGTCCATGTGATGTGAACTGCAGAAATGTATTTGCCAAAATTGGGACTGAAGATTTAAGGAATTAACACAGCCGGATTTCTAAACACAAAGCAAATGGATGAGCTAACTGAAGTTTTTAAAAAAAATCCCACAAGGGATCAAACTGACTGATAAACCTCTGCTACAGACAGAGAGCATGGAGTAAAGCCCAGTGAGCTCAGGGTACAACTCTTTCACATAAATGGACCCAGATCAGGTTCCAGCTCAGAGTATGAGCACAGAGCCTGCTCAAGTTTCAGCAAGCACATGTGTAGCAGAGTTTGCTCTGCCAAGGAGGCACAAGCTTGGGGATTGGGGGTTTTTTTCCTCATTTCTTGTTGATTTTGAAATTATTGATATTAAATAAATTAAAGGAGAAACCCTAGACAATGTTAGGGGGATTGACAAAGGAATTCACCAACTATTAAAAACCAAAACCAGGAAAAAATTTCTCAGTATTTCAGATTCTACTGAATAAAGTCTTTTTTTCCCCCCTCTCATGACTATTTTCTTTGACTCTGATGTCCCAGTCCTGGTCTTTGCATTCCATGGTATTCAATCCTTGAAAATGAATGAGAAACACACAAATTCAAAGAGCAAGCGGGTAGCAAAATTATACCAACTGCAGGGAAATATTACAAAACTTTCAACAGCATCAGCCATAAACAATCCAGTAAGGATTATTTCTAATGCTTTGCATTTCACCAGAATAATTTTTGTCCAAGTATGGACAGAAAATGTGGTATGGAGGAGACACCAGTGTGGAAAACCTGATCCAGACAGACTTTTCTGGTCTTTCCTGCTTTCCCAGAGCTATCAGTGTATTTATCACTATAGGATATACTTCACACATTTAAACAAAAATATTTATTTTTGAGAAATATGGACTCTGCTGAGAGACTAGACTGGCAAGAGAGAAACCAATTTATTTAAAAGAAAGAGCATAGCACAAGGAAATGCCACACCACAGACACCTGAGCTACCTCATCCTGTCTCCTGTTAGGAGGTTTTCATTCCTCATGTCACTCCTCTAGTCCTCTTCCCCAGTCCTAGTGTGAATTCCTCTTTCCCAAATGACAGCTTATAATAACATTTTAGTTAAGGTCCTACCAATAAAACAGACAGTAAGGGTTATCATGGCCAATCTTCATCCAAGTTCTAAATAATATAGGAGGAAAATGTTAAGCTATCGCATTCTTTTCAATGAAAAACATAGAAAGATGTTTAACAGAAAGTGCTCATAACAGCAGAGGAAAGTTGCAGTCATCTCACTTCCTTATCTGGGGAGAATGAGTCTGCAAATGGCAGGTAAAGGTAAAAGGTGTCCAAGGGAAGAAAAGAGTGTTTTCCTGCAACAGGAGCATCACTTTTGGTTCAATTTAAACTCCTCAGTGAAGGATCCCTCTTGTCTAGAGAGATGTCACTCTAAGGGTTAACTATTTTGCTGATAAAATTTCATACCAAATTCATAGTTTCAATACAAGTTCCAGATTCCATGTCACTGAAAACACAGGCCAATCATAACAAGGTGACAGCAGAAGCCATTTGAGGAGTAGAGCCATGGCCATATTGGTTACCAGCACCTCTATTTCCCTGGGGGATTTTTGGGATTGTTTTGGTTTGTGATGCTGGTTGTTAATTTTTAAAGAAGAATAATCTTCAACTATGAAAATCATCTTCCAAAAGCAGTTATAAAGCTGATAACTGATCCAGCTCACAGCAACACCTCTGAGGGAAGAACACAACTCCCTGCAGAGGTGGGGCTGTGCTGCTCAAGTACCCTTCTCTGGGGGAAATGCAGGCACAGAGAGCTCCCAAGGCCTCGAGCGTACAGGCTCAGAGATAGAGATGGACACAGTGTTTGACCTAAGGCCTTGGAGAAGGCTTGAAGGTTCGGAATAAAAAAGTGAAACAGACACGAAATAAGAATAAAGACTTGTAGTCTAAGCAGAAATATGTTTTAAGCAAGTAGAAATATGCCTCATGTAAACAAATAAATATGTTAAGCAAGATAGTAGAAAATTTTAAAGTCTAGCAATAGAACCTCTTATAAAGTTAGTAAAAAGTAGAAGATACAGCAGTAAGTTTCTGTAGAGTTCTATGATTGGATAAAAATAGACACATTGTGTCAAATTGTGTAAAACATAGCAATTAATGATTGGTTTGTAAAGATACTAGTGAGCTTTGTGGAAGTAGCTGATTGGATAAGAAATTTATAAAAGATATTGTAACTAGAATTAAAACAGCTTCTGGTGTGATAAGTTTGGATGTATCACCTTAGGGTTTCACCCTTCCATGAGACTGATTCTGCAATAAACCATCTTTTAATCACCTCATCAGCTGACCCCATCTGCTCTGTATCCCGAGCACTGCTCAAACCCAGAGATGCAGATCTTGGTTTACCACCTCTCTCAGGTCCCCAAAAATGACTTTTTTTCAAAGACTACATGACTCATTCTCAAAGAATTACATGCATATGAACCTGAGAGAAAGGGTCAAAAGGTAACTTGTGTACAAAGGTGGGACTCTTTCATATGTAGACATCTTTCATAACCAACAACTTCTCTCATAACTCTGAGAGGAAATCTATACTGAAGATGTTTATTTTTACTATATCAGTGCTTTGGAACAGGGAAAAAAAAGTGCTATTGATTTCAGTTACAACTGCCCATTCTTCTGTTTACAGCACGATAGATTTCAGTAAAATTATTAGAAACAGGAGCAATGTTTTATAGCAGTGTAATATTAATGTTTCAGAGACTAATCATGTCTTATCAAGCCATGAGCATCAAAAAGCCAAAAACATAAAAATGGAAGATATGCCCTCAAACTGCATATTTAGCAATCTCTTTAAATGTACTTTATTTTTACATCAGAGTGCTGTACAAGTTCAGTTGTGTATTCTCTAGAACCAATTAAGCCATAATAACTTGACATCTTGCCATGATTCTCTTCTGTTTTGCCACCTACATTTTACATCAAGCAAATAATGTAAAAGCAAATAAAAATCTGTGAAGGTCCTTTTAACCTTGACAGTCTGTCGTATTGTGAAAATCAGAGTAGATCAAAAATTTCTCTTCTTTTTCCAGTCTTGCCTCTCATTCAAACACACAGGCTTAAACATTTATATGTCTATTCATAATTTATTGGAGCATTTGCCACTCATGACACAAGTACAGCTCTAGCCTGCAGGAAAAACAATGACTAATAGTTGAAAGACAACATTTCAATTAGTCATTGGGAAATACATCCATGCTCATTGCTTGGTTCTCAGGTGCCAGTAAGCTCCAATAGGGAAGTCTGACATCAAATAGTCACCCAGAAAAATATACTGCTTTCAATTAGCAACAGCAGTTAGATCAGAGACGGATCCTCTCTCCCAGTACACACCAGGTAGATTTATCTTTAAAGAAGTCCCCAAAAATATGAACCCCTTAAGAAGGTTGGTGGGGAAAGCTGTGCTCAGAGTTCTGTTCCTGCCATTAGGACATGCTTATTCTGCTTCAGAAGACAGGTACCAGACTGTATTTTTTGTTTCAAATTTCAGTGTTTAGCATAGAGAAAAATAGCAGAGCCAGGAGATGCACAGGAAAGTTGTTGTGCAAGATGAGAATCCCACTCTGGCCACCTTTACTACCCAAGAAGACCCCTGCAATGAGAAAACCCTGTAATGAGAAGACCCCTGTAATAATGAGACCCTGTTTCCCTCAGCTACTTCCCTGTCACAACAGGGGAGCCTAGCCAAATGCCATTTGCTTGGGTGCCATCTTTGCCATCCCAGTCACAGACTGTTGATCCTTAAATTAACAGACTTGGAAACACAAGCATCTCCTCAATCAGGAAGCATTGCAAGTCTCCAGATTGGGTTTACTGAATATGCCTTTTGCTCCAGGATTGTGTTCATCTCCATGATCCTCCTTCCAAGACATTGCACACCTGCAGCCCAAATCCAGACTTTGGAGATAAATTAAAGCCTAAATTTGCTTATTCTCTGTAGACTTAGAGCAACACAAGGCATTCACAGAATCCCAGAAGGGTTTGGGTTGGAAGGAACCATAAAGATGATCTACCTCCACCCCTCTGTCATGGGTAGGGACACATCCCACTAGAACAGGTTTCTCCAAGCCCTGTCCAGGCTGGCCTTAAGCACTTCCAAGTTGCATTTCAAGGGGCATTTGCCAATTAAAAAAAAAATCCAGAATAAATCAAAGTGGATATTAGTCACCAGAGAGCTAGGGCTGTCATTTTTCTTCCAACTTCATCCCCCTTTTTAAATAAGCTGGCACACATCTGGCACAGCCTGTGCTGCACTCCATGCCACAGCCCTGGTCAGGGGCAGTGCAATCCTGCCGTTCAGATGTGTACTGGACCTGCTCCAGTTTCCAGTTACATATGGTCATGATTACCAGCTGGCTTTGGAAAGCACAAGGACTCTGAAAACAGCATGTCTGGAAGGGGTTTCTCATTGTAAAAAAGCTCTCTGTGACATTGAATGAGCTTTCACATTTAGAGTTTTCAGTGTATTCTAGTACACTGGATTACATTTTTCTGGGATTTTAGTAGGGGATTTCTTTTACCTTCTTGTGAAGGATCAGAATTTATGGAATTTGAGATATGGCCTGGCCATTTTTAAGTCAAGTCCCTTCTGTCTGGACAAGAGGCTAGGAAC